CAAACTCTCTTTTACACATGGAGAACAGAAGTACCACACGCCATCTAAACTGCCTAAAGGCGAAGATGGTTCTAATCAGTGAAATGGCCTCTTCAAAAAGCATCTATTGTGGTATATTAAGAGTATTAGAGCTGCTGGAAGTTTTTATGCTTAAAAATAAGAAAAAAAAAGATATATTTTTCTATTAAAGCCTGTATGAAAATAGTCATTAAAATGTTTCTAGTAACAGCAGTTTGGTAATGACTTTCTATCATTCCTTCCTGTTCTCCACGTGGTTTGAGGGTGTCATTTTATCCAGATCTGCATGCTTCTCTGATCCRTCAGGGAAGATTTCCCTGGCAGACTTTAACTCAAACATTTTACCTCCAAACATTTTAAAGTTATTACAGTCTACTCACTCTATAATTATAAAAATCAGAAATTACTTTGAAGTTTCAGTTGGAGAAGTCTAATGCTGGAATTACTCTGCAGAACCACTGATCTGATTACTGATGAGCATCATATGCTTATATTGAAGCATACATGTGAAGCACACTGAAGGGCAGGATAAACCTAACCCTATAACTCTAGGCATCACTTGTTAATATGCTGCCCAATAAAACAATCTCCTATAAACTAAGAAAGCAGTGCATTACATGCTGGTTTAATTGTTAGTTATGGTTTCCTTGTAAAGTAGCATATAGAAGAAGGCACTGTGACAAGGTAGCGTGTTTTATAGAGGAGGCCAGAAAATTACAGCTCAGGAGTATGGAAATGATTAGCACCTGCATATTGGGATAAAGCAACAAAGTTTAGAAACTATGATCTCAGCTTTTGGCAAAATGAAGAGCTTGAAAGCTCTTAGTTCTCTTGGGCAATAAACCCAATGGTTATTGAGATTTTATTAATTTAAATTAATTTCCATAATTTCTTGGCAGCAGCATAAATAAATAATAGTACTCAGATCCTGCCTAGTCAGGCAGGACTCTTAGGATATTGTTTCTTTTGGACAGGAAAGAGAAGTCACTTAGTAAGGACTGATCTTGTGACCTTTATTCGCACAAGTAGTCCTGAAGTCTGTAAAGCATTCTGAGTAATCAAAAACTGACAAACTGCACAAGTGTTTGTGATTAAAAAAATTAAAACCAAAGATAAAAATCTTCGATAAAAAATATGTTTTCACTTAAAATTGTAAATAAAACGATCAATTTGTTCAAAAGTAAGTATTTTCTGTGGGATATTCTAGCAAATACTGAAAGTGTAGCTTAAAATAATTCCTATGAAAAAGCAGCAGTTTTTGACTGGACTATATTGGACTAGTTAGTCACTTCAAGTACAATGCCTTTTGTGTTACATTACTAGCCTTGTTTTTTCCCTTGTAGCTCGTCACCCAAATTAGAAAGCAACCAGACATTTGTATGTTTTAAGGCATTCTGATCTTCTGTGTTATTGTTTCCTTGTCTTAAAGTTTGGATCAAAACCATAATGTTACAGGTATGAGGAGGGGGGATAATGTCTCCCCAGTCTACATTATTATGTAAAATTGTTGAGATTGCCGGTTTACAGCTCTGTTTATCCCAGAGGCTTATTTCAAAGCCATGTCCTGCTGTCTGATAGCTTGACTTTGAACCAGAATTGATAAAGCATCACAGCAAACACAAACTAAGCCTGTCAGCATTAGGCAAACCACTCCGATATGTCACTAAAACAGAACGCCAGATTAATAGGTGCTTTAAAAATTAACAWTTTTTAGAAGATCTCACGGATGCAAAGTGCTGAAAAACATAGAAAGGAGAGAGGATATGAAAATAAGTCAAAAGCAAACAAACAAACCCTGCTTGCCTTTGTTTGCTTGACGTTCTTTTTTTTCCTTTGTATACAGAATTTTTTTTCTTGTCTTTGGAGATGTTCCTGGTATTACCCCACCTGCCTGCATTGCCTTAGCACTTCACTGTCACAGTTACAAAGCAACTGCATCCTAAGACAATTCTTTTAATCTCATTTTATGCTTAGAAAAAAAAACAACTTTATGGACTTGATCCATTTCAAGACTCTCTTCATCAAGAGATTAGTGCCTGCAGCCAGACCTTACCGACTTGCCCTAAGTCAGAGGAACGTATTTACTGTCAGATTAAATCAGATCCCCAMGTCCATCTAATCTCAGATCTTGTTGCTGGCCATGGAGGGTAGCACGTGCCTCGCAGGAAGAGCCAGCGTCTTCACTGGGGCAGAGAGATGCAATCTGCCCTTGCTGGGACACCTCCTCTGACAGCAAGATTGCATGACCAAAGTCATCCAAGATGCTGCAAATCTCGTCTTAGCAATTTCCTGTAGCAGGGAATAGTCTCCTTTACAGAACCAGAACATGGCACAAGCTGAGAGGGAGGTGCTGGAAGTCACTTGTGCAAACCCCACTTGGAGCAAGCTGATTTTATCAGGCTGTTTCAAACTGAGTGCAGGTGAATTTTGGAGAGCTCCAAGGGCGAAGATCAAAATACTCCCGAACCTGCTGCTTCCAACATTCAATCACTCTCATGGGGAAAAATTAATAATATAGTAGCAATTCTAATCTTAGGTTAGGAAAGAAATTCATCGTTAATTTTTATCAAATGTGCAACAGGGAGAAGTGATGGTGTAACTTACAGAACTGTTCGAATTCCTTGACCTCTGCTGAGCAGGGTCCCCAAGAGCATATATATGAGAGGGCAAGAAACTACTTGGAGAACATCTTTGCTTGTTGTCCATTTGGTTGCTGGGGGGTAGGTTGTTCCTCTCCCTTCTCGCAGAAGCAAGCTGTTGTTTCACTCCTCCGACAAAGCTGTTGGTATGGTAAATCCAGCACCAAGATACGGAGAGTTCAACAGTGCAACAGTTCACGGAGGGAGCTGTGAAGTGCACCCGTCAGCAGAGACAGCTCTGCTGCAGAAGCGACTGCTCAATCCATTGCTATTAAAAATATGCACAAGTGCTGCTCCCTCTCCAAGCATTTATTTAGTTACTGCTTTTCTTGTGACACAGAAGTGTTTTCTTCCCCACAGCTCAGAGCAAAGGATGAAACTTCTAAGGAGGGAAATGTAGCTATTCCTGTTAAAAGACTTCTTACTGTAAGTTGAACCACTCAGTTCCTCTCACAGTGTTTCATCTTGTCCTAGTGATGGTTGATATTGGGTCCTTCCTTTTGTCCTCCCATTCTGAATGAAAAAAAAATGAAGTAATTTCCCTCAAAAACACTTCAAAAMCCACCCTCTTCTAATGTTAAGTTGTGAAGTGAAAAGCAGCCAGTGCCTTTCAACAGCTTCATGGTCAGATGCGCTTAAGCCCAACCTCAGAGCACCCAAGTTTCTGGGAGTTTCTACAGAAGCGAGATTTACACATTCAAATTGCAGGTGCACGCACATATCTGCATCTCTCCGTCCATCACGGCCACCTTCTTGACCCTGTTGAAATCCCAGCACAATCCAGAATTTCTCCTCTTAAAGGACAGATCCTCAGAGGTGCATTAGGGTTTCTGGCGGTGACAAGCACCTTGCCTTTTCTCCAATCTTTGTCAACACCAACAAAATATCCTACAAGAATGTCCTGAGAGCTCAGCCCAGCCCACTAGGCACTAYCAGACACACAGCAAAATAAATATCCTTTCTTGCTCTGAAACACTTGCAGGCAGAGCAGAGAGCAAGGAGGCTTCTCGCKCGTTTGCCTCCTGGTGCACAGCAGAGACCCAGGCACTCCGAGTTTGTTTTCACTGCATAACTCAGACCTAGAAAGGCTCAAGAACTCAGCTGTCAGACTCCCAATGTCAAGATCTGCTTCAAAATAACGAGAGGACCAAACAGAYAGCCCGAGTTCAGCACGGCATAAAGTTATGGCTACCAAAAATGCTTCAGCTGACTCCTCTGCCTGCACATAAACCTACCTCTTCCCAACTCCATGTAGCCGTGACCATGAGATGCAGAGCTGCATCCCAATACAAAAGTTTCACAGGATCTTCCTCCCTYCCGAGGTACTAGCGAGATCACATTAATCCTTGAAGACAGAAAACCCTGTGAAAGTTATAGCAGCTAAAATCCCACCTCAGTTCTTCCGCGGTGGGGAGGGAGGAAAGGTCTMCAGCACGTTTTCCCACCACCACCACCACACTTTGGGCATTGCGTCATAAAATTTTTTAGTGACATTTATTTTTATTTGGCCAGTGAAAAACTTTGGGGAAGGCCTCCTTGTAAATGGCCCGTAAAGCCTGACAGGAACTAAACCTCCCACTGTTTTTGTGACTGATATAAAAAAGAATCAACTTATTAGACACCCTTAATGCACGTTTTATGAGAAAAGGAAGACTGTCCCTCTGCAGAAGACGCTGATTCCTCAATAGACTGAGTTTAGTCCTGTAAGCATCTTTTGCGGCCTTTTATGAGGTAAAGCTTTCCTTATAAAGTCCTGGCCTCACCACAAATCCACTTCCCTCTGGGCTCCTCCATTAATAAGCACTTTCATTAAAATTCCACCTTCCACAGAAAAACAGMCAGGCTAATTTAACAGGAAATTGACTTTCTCCATCACCTTCTTGTCTCTGACTCCAGTGACACAGGCCAGGCYGGCAAGAGACATCCTGTGGAYGCGTTAACATTTCTCCTCATGTATCTGCAGGAGCCCTGCGCTTCCTTGAGCCRGTTGGGGAAYGGGCAAAGGGAGAAGGTCTGCGAAYGGCCACGACAGAGATGCCGCTGCTTTGAGGAGAAGGCTACCRTGGCTTGTGAACTCCGAACTGAAAAGCCTCTCTGCACAGAGGTGTGCTAACCACCTCCTGAGCAAAGCAGGGCGGCCGGCACCACGTGCATCTCCTCTGGGAGGGGTATGAGCACTTGAAAGGCCTCCGAACCAAATCCGAAGGACARAGGTTCCCCACAGGGGCTAACCTGTTGTGCCTCCTTTTATCACAGGCTTTCAGAGAGCATGACGTGGGCAGCCAAAAGCACAGGAATGATGAGGGGGGAGGTAATTCATGGCCTGGTGCTCACCTGAGGGCCGGCGAGTTGGCAGCCACRGCAGACGCTACCGAGACAGCAAGAAGGGATCAGCTTCAGAGGGATCAGGTGAGTAACAGGGTCACACTGAGGGCTGTGGCAAAGAAATCCTGGCTCTCTATCCGTTGCGTTCAATCAGGGCCTTGGTCTCCTCAAGTTGCTACTCTATCACCAGCAATTGATCCCACAAAAATTTAAAAACATAAAAAGAGAAAATAAAAATGGAACAACTCAACCTCATGACACAAAATATATTCCAGGAAATAAATTTCATAGGCACAGCAATATTTTATGAGCAGAGAGAGGGGCTGAGTTCATCAAATACATTATCTGCTTCCTGTACATTGGCAAACTTGTAAAAATTAAGAACTTTTTTGGCTTTAATGTAAAAATTGACATTTTTTTTCCTTTGGCTTCTAAGACAAGCTTTCAGGTGGAAGGCTGTACATAACACCACTGCATTTAAAAATGAGAAACTAGAAATGACAGTGACTCCATCTGTCCATAAAAAAGACAAAAAAAAATCCATATGAATTTATTTTGCATTCCAGTGACGTATCTCTCTGCATTTCACAAGAAAATGTCCAGGGAAAGTGACAGGTTTATTTTTAGCCTTTCTTTAATCTTTGCAGAGTACGGCAGCAGATTGCAACCCATCATGAGTGTCCCAAACTAGGCTGAGATAAGCTCCTGAAAAAGAATGGGTTTGGATTGACTGTCATACTGCAAAGATATGGAGATGTTCTTAACAACCAGCCCCACTCCAGCTATAAGAAATTTGATCATATGCATTTCATTCTCAGTGTCACATATAAGTGGGAGATACATTTGTCACTGGATAATACATTCAGAATTAACAAGAAGAACTTGTCAGGTTTTGGCTGCAACCACTGAAGCTAAAGCCTAGAGCGAAATAAACTGTCAGATCAGAGCTTTGTTAAAAGGATTAAACCCATTCTTAAGGGTGGAGCTGTGGAAAAGCTTTTAAGCTTTATACTTACACCTGAAAGGTTTTAAACTGGGATTCTAACAGAGACTGACATGAAATAAATATAAAAATAAAAAATAAAATAATAATAAAATAAATAAAACCCCAGCTAATCGGACCTCACTAGTGGGACCCTCTCCAGAAACAACTGCATTGTGAACCCTGCGCTGAGGAAATGCCACTGCGAAACCCTAGATCCATAAGGCAGTCACTAATTATTGGCCACATTTTTTGGCATATGCTCAAGTTGCTGTAGAATCAGTAACTGCTTTGCAAGTCATTTCTCATTACAGATCTACTACAGTAATTGATTTGCACAGTGGCCATGTGGTAACTCATAAAACTTTGTAATGGGGTCCCAGTTCTGCAAATACTTCTGCTTGTGCTTACAGGGAACAAAACAAACAGGAGGCTCTGGAAGCCTCCAAGTCAGTCACAATCCCAAACTGCAGGCAAGAGTAGGCTCAGACCATTGCATTGCACTTTTTACACCACAGAAAAYATTTTCCTACATTCAATTAATTACAAAACTGCACCACATGATGCCCTTGTGAATGAAGTAGGTGTTGCTGCAACACTCATTTCCCAGGGAGGGAAGCAGAGCTATGACTCAGAGGTGAAGTGAGCTGGTCAAGGTCACACAGTAGCAGACTCATAAATAGCACCCAAATGTCCCGCTCTAGCCAAACTCTAAGCTTTCTCACACTGCTTTGATGGTGTGCTGGAAACCTGACTTCATCTTCAAAGAGATTTTGAACCCACTCAGTGTCTGGCCTGATCGGTCCTGCATCTGTTTCACCCACTCCTCATCAGTGCCGCTCGTTGGTGGCTGCTGCTCACTAGGAAGAGTCCCCACTAGATCCCAGCTGCAGAAGTTGGAGAAAGGTGCAGGGAAGAGGAGTTTCTGAAGGCAAAGGAGGTGAGGAGGCACCTAGGATCGTAAGCATCCTGCTCAACTTTGGCAAAATCTCTTCCCAAAGAGGCCACTAACCTGCTTGTCATTTCAAAGCAAAAGCTCCAGGGCATATTATTAATCTGAAAGCCTTTTACATTGCTATTGTTCCTCAATAAATATGAACTTGGGTCATTTAAGTGTCTGGTGAAAGCCTGGGACTCAGATAAAGAGTTTGGGCTAGCTGAGGGTCAGCATTTCTTCATTTATTGGAGTCCAAGGCAATATTTCCTTGGAGTTGATGAAGGTTGAGTTTTACAGGACTTTGCCCTAGGAAAGAAGGGAGAACCAACTGCAGACTCCTGGCTTTGCAGAGGCTACAAATATTTCCTTGACAAAAGACTAGGTAGATCTACAAATCTACACCTCCACATTACTCAAGTCAGACTTTATTCTTCCTCTCTCTCTCTCTCTCTCTCTCTGAAGCACCATAAAATTAATCCAGATAAGATTAAAGTTTTGCGAGTCTGATAGACATCAGATAGCACAGCATCAACAGCCTGGGAACATGAGACCTGAAGTTTAATCTCATTATGCTGTTATTATATTCCTAGATGATTATGAACAAGTCTCTTAAATTCTTCTTGCATCTCAGCCATACAATAGAAYACGTCTCTATCCGCTTTAGCTGTCCAAGATATCAAGTCATCAGAGAGCAGCCTGTTCCTCTGCAGTACAACACCTAGCACAATGATAAATTATATAGCAGAGAGTCTGTAACAAGAATCTCCTCTTTTAGGGCAGTCCAGTCATTATATAAGTGTACACATGCTAAGGCATTACTAAACAAAGTCTTTTAAAGGAAGGAATCCTTGTTTCATATTTGAAGCCAGTCTTGGCCCAAAAAGACTCATTTGTTCCACGTGGGAGGAAGGCGGCAGCATCACAGCATCCTTCCTAATGACAAGAACAGGCTATGAGGAATCTCTAATGTGATGGGCAAACCCTTTTGCAGCATCACTCCTTGGGTAAAGCTGTGCTGTTACCTCTCCTGCATCCTCCACCAGCCTATTTCAGCTATTCAGCTTCCCCTCCCACTTTTTTTTTTTTCCTTTTTACTTTTTAAATATTTCATCTCAACTGTGAAAAGAACCACACACTCACTGAAATATCAATATACCCCTGGTGACCATTCCTGCCAGGTAATTAGGTTAGTTGCTTTCACACACACCCAAAAAGAAAAAAATAAATAAAATAAAATAAAATAAATGCGTAATTATGGTTTGGAGAGCACTAGTCTCAAATTTTCCATTCTCAAAAGTCCTCTGGGGAAACAAGGAATGAGAGCTACTTATTGATTTCATCCTTGTGATGATCACACACAAGACTTGCTGGAAAGCAGGCCCGCTTGTACTGTCCTCAGCTCCCCCAGGGAAATAGGGATGGGGAGCAGAAGCGAAGCCACTTGTGCTTAAAAAGGAAAAAAAAAAATAGACAGGGGAAAAAAAATAAAAAGAAAAGAAAGAGGGCAACAGTTTCGGCTTTCATTATAAGCACTGTTATATCAACAATGGYTAGGGAACAAAGGAAGCCATTTCCACTAGTTCCTGCTTCAATTAGTTATTTGAACTAGTGAAGATTGTGCCACTTTATCTCCCCCTTGTAACATAATCATTGTATTTTACATCTCATGAGAAAAAAGGCCTGCCAGAGGACATTATCTGGCTCTGGGTCATACATCACAGGAGATAACATCGTTATTCATGTCAAAAGGGATGATCAAGGTCTTCCTGTTTTATCAGCGATTAGCCAGGAAAGAAAAGCTGCTGCTGCTGCTGCTCTTGGCAGGTAGCCAGGCGCTGTCTGAGTATTTCCATATCAGCGCAGCGCGGCGAGCATTACTCACGGTGCAACTGTGCTGCGCTATACAGGCCACGGAAACGGCTCTTCCAAAGCCATTAAAATCGCGGCTCATGGGGAGGGTGCTGGGCTTTCATTAGCCACCAGCAGCAGGAGACGTGGCGCAGAGGAGAGGGTCCCATCCTGCTCCCCCTTGCAGCGCTCGGGCTCTGGCGCATGCCACCCGCTCCGGAGTTAGGACTGGTCTAAGCTGGCAGCAAAGGCAGGCTTTTAGCAAATTAGCACRGCCTGGGAGGCACCTAAGTCCCTTGAGCTTGAGCCAGGTTCTGCTCTTCATCTCCAAGTGCCCTCTTTTTGGCCGACACTGTCTCACTTCACTCCCACTCGCTTTTTGTACCATTCTTTGCCATTTTCCCCTGGACAGCAATACTTTAAAGCTGGGGCAGAGTTCAGCCCCTGGCTGAGACACTGTGAATTATTCCATTTCCTGAGCACCTTCCCTTGGGCTCAGAGCAATTCACTCCCAAATAGCATATACGCAATTTACACATCTCAAGTGGTTTACCTACTGTCTGAGAGCAACAGTGAAACATACCCCCTATCTTAGCTACAAGCCTAACGGGAGTTGGATTTCTGTACCTTGTGCCTGAAATGCTACCAAAAAAGAAAAAAAATCTGTGATTTGAAAAATAAACYTTGTTGAGCTACAGAGGAACATTCTACAGTGTCTTCCAGAAGTGGCTTAACTTTATGCCTCTGATGCAAAGTTCACTGAACCAAGAAAGTCTTTCCACTCACTTCACTGAGCCCTGGCACCATATCCTCTGGCAGCAGCACAACGTCATGGAAATTCAGTGTCCCAAATCACCACGCAGGGCTCATCTGAATAGGCTTTTACTGCCTTCTCCCACCTACTTATCAACACAAAAGCGTATTCATCATTAGTATTGCAAATCAAAGCACACAGAAGAGCACGTGTGTGAGCTGCATAACGCATTTAAGACCAGAGTTATGTAAGGTTTGAACGCTGCTAAAATCCCCAAATCAGCAGAGTGAGTAACAAGCATGAGTGTATAAAGGATATATAACCTCCTCCTTTGGGAATAAACTTCCCAAGAGTGCACATTTTGGATGAGTCCATCGTGTGGGTTTTACATCTCCCCCCAGATCATATATCATTGGCCAGAAACAGGGAAAGAAGGATGGGAATTGCAGAACTGAATCACTCCCATAGTTATTCCAACTCAGAGTCTAACATACAATTAAACCTTTGCAGCAGTCAGCCTGAAACTGCGAGTGTGCTAATAACAAAAATAACAAGTGTGAACCAAAACTTATTAAACATTGTGTTACGTTAAAAATAATAACAAAAGAAAACCAAGACTAAATACCATTTCCTTTCAAAGGGAGATAAAATTAAAAATGACTCAGCAACTGTGAGTCAGGGCAGGAAACTTCTGTCACTGAGCCAGTACTTGTAACTTCACCGGGAAGGGGTGCAGGGCTCTGAACTGTTTCTACGGGTGTTCATCACCACCAGCGCTGCCCAGCGTGGTGCGTGTGTCCTGCTGCAGGGCTGCTCTAGACACGCTTGCCATGAAGAACCTGGGCAAGCAAGAACTTCCTCCAGTGAGTTACGAAAAAGAAATGCAAGTGCTCAAAGAAACCACAGGAGCAAGCCACAGCCAGCAAGCACAGCTGGGTTTCTTGAAGGTCACGCAACTAAACCCCAAAGCGTCGAGAAGAGCACACGTCACACAGAGGAGAGACCTTGGGGGCAGTTTTTTCTACATGGTCTCACTGASAGGCTGGGCAGCAGGATGACCTGGCCCTGGCTCTGACACTAATCYCAGGCTGTCGCTTTCTAGTGCACAGCTGCTCTCCTTGCAGCCACCTGCAAGGGTTAAGATGGGGATATAAAACAACAGTCCCCAAATGGTACCTCAATGTTACATTGAGCTTTCCAGTCCTCTTGAGGCTGGGTACTAAAGCACTTTTTAATCACAGAACTTCTTGTCCGAAGCAGCAAGTTTCAGAGTTATATGGGGTCTTTTAGCAGAACCATGGTCTAGACCTCCACACAAAGCCTATGGAAGCAGGGTGAGGAGCACAGGGTCCAGGCAGAGCTCAGGCTCAGAGCCCTCCCTGGTGCTCAKGCTCAGAGCACCTGGCCCTGAGGCCTTACTGTGTCTACCCCTAAGGGCACGCTGTGGCCAGGACTCCATTTGAGTTTTGATGTCCAAGCTGATTGTTAACCAAAATCCTGGGAAGTTGAGCTGTACAGCACAAAGCTCCCTTCAAAGTCCATCATCAGGACTAAGCTGAGCTGGCAGTTGGGTTTCCACCCACAGACATCTTAGGCAAAATATATAGTCCTTATCTTTTCCATTTACTAGAAATCACAGGATCCAAGCTGGGAAAGGCTGGCAAATAAACATGCATAACTGGTGAGCAAACCCTGTGCTGTTCTTTTGGGGAAAGAGCCAGGAGATCATTCTCTAGATAGAGGAATTCATAAGAGATCATACAAGCCCTGCAACCTTTAATAAGGCAAGATAAGGCAACTGTAATTACAAAAGTGGTTTTTGGCTTTTTTTTTTTTTTTCCCCTCTTCTAAAATCAAAAGTTTCAAGTTCCAGTCACACAGAAACACAGTTGCACAAGTTGCCAGAAAGGAATCAAGCAAAAGACTCTCCCAGTAATTAACATTCATTAGGGGTTATTTGCATGTGGTCCCTCATCAGATCTAGGAATGCCAACCCTGAAGAATTGCCTGGTTTGTCCTTTGGGCATACTAGCCTTGCTCGTGTTCTGTCAAACCTTAAATATCCACAAACTTTGAAACACCGGTTGAAAAGCAAGAACCCTCCTGTGGCTGCAAGTACCTTAACAAGCAGGTAGCAAATGCCTTTCAGAGCGAAACAGCAGGAGCTACAATGCAAAATACATATCTGAGATCTATGCATTAATATATGTGTTAATATTATTCTAACACTTCTTTGCTCTTCAAAGATGGCCATATCCTTCCTGCGGCAGAGGCATCCCAGAAATCCAAAGCTTTCCTGGATGGCTCCCGCCATCCCCAAGCAGTGCCCCACATCCTTAACCCTGCACTTCCCATCTGGAGCACCAGCCCTTACTGGGTTTACTTACCAAGGGATGAGGCCACTGGTTTTACATGCCTGCTGGGGTCTGCGCTTGAACCAGACCAGGACACAGAGATCCAACTTGGCAGAGCCAGACCGTGACCCAAGCAGAAAATGTCTGTCACAGGGAGCTACTGCTACAACAGTTCCAACAGTTCTCGAAAAATTATGTGGGGTTGTGCAATGGATATCTGATTCCAAGGAGATGGAACCCATCTGCAAGACTTTCCTGACCAAATGTGTTATATTGTACAGGCCACACCACATGGATTTTTATTGCCACACTTCATAAAGTATTTCTGAAGTTTCCTGAAAGATACCATTTCACATGCCACCAGCAAGCCCAGACACCAGGCCTGAGCCAAGCTGCTCCGACACACACAGCAGAGTGTGGAGAGGCACCTGGAGCCTTTCAAACGTGGAGTCCTCCATATATTCCTGAGATAAGAGCCATGATCGCCTTGGACAGGCTGCCAGCGGCATCCCTGTCACTCAGAGCTTTGCCGAACAACCGCGTGCTCGCTGCATTAAGGGCTTTTCCTGAATCATATAGACCGTATAAGGCAATTTCCCATTTGCCCTGCCAACAGCAAGGTCTCTGCTCTAGCTCTCAYGTATAGCCAGCCTGTAGGGCCATTTCTCCCAGCTTGGTGTCCTGGATCTGCTCCAACTGCTGCACTCCAACCAGGGCCATTTGCCACCAGTGGGTCCCAGCTCACACCTGGAGCACTGCCTGGCCACGAAGCTCAACAGCACTAAGATGAGACCACTAGCCYGGTGGAAACACACTGAGAACAGCCACATTTTAATAAATGCAGAGCAACGGTGCTGCTCAGAAGTGCTGCTATTAGGCAGCAGCTTGAAGAAAAGGAGCAACTGCTGAAAAAAAGCATTTTAAGTAGCAACTGTTTATTTAGCGATTTCTTAGCTGATTATTAGCTTGGTATTGGTGAGCAAGGCATATCAGAGTTTGGAAAAATGACTTTTAAGTCCCATACTACAACAAAATAATAATTGCTTACTAAACCAAAGACATTTAAAACCACCCTGAACYGCGGATACAAATAAAGATATTCCCCACTTTCTAAATCACTGTTATTGATTATATCTGTGTAATGAGGATGGATAGGATTTCAATTCATGAGTTAACCTGACTGTTGACATAATTGAAAGCAGATGAAAACACTTCCCTAGGTCAGTTATAGTCCTGCTCTTTAGGAATGTTGACTTTGAAATACTTTTGCAACATGTGTGTATATATATATATAAATATAAATATAATATAAAAAAGATGTATATCAACATGCAATGCAAAATCATTCCCTTAGTCTATTACTAAATGATTATTTCACTTACCAGGAGGTAACTTCCAGTTACCAGGAGGAGCTGGTCCTTGTCCTGTTGTTCCTGGAGAGCATTACCATTCCATTAATAACTCTTCCATGAACTCGAATGCAGAAACTGGAGAGGGGACTTTCCAAGTGCAGAGACACACAGCTGGTGGGGAAAAGTGTGATTATCCACATCTYCAAAACATGATTTAATCAAGCTCTTCTAGGAATCTATTTGCCAGAGAGCCACAGYGCCTTGGGATTAATTATTCCTCTTAATAACTACAGATGCTGGCAAAGAGGAACAGGGATTCCCTGCTTGGCCTTCTCAACCTCAGYTCTTGTTTGTGCTTCAGACCCTCTCACCTTTCCCCCTCTCCTCCTGCACCCGGAGGCAAGGGAAGGATGAAGGTTTGCGCAAGGATTTTGTTGTTGCTGCTGAAAACTTTGCGTATGTGATCAGTAGCCAGGGGGATAATTTATTGACAGAAATTTGTGGCAGATCAGATAAGGTGTTCACAAGATAAGGGATTTTGAAAAATGAGGTACAATTCAGGCTTTGAGATATTCCTCTAACAATATCTTGTAGAGCCATATCTCAAAAGCTACGTGGCCTAGAAACTTCAAGTTTGTTTTATTCAGGAGTCCTTGGCTAGGTTCAGCACACAGTCCTTTCTCAGATAAGGTCAGAGCCTTATTTACTATGAGCTTGTTTTTCCTTCAGGGTCCCCGCTAAACCATTAGGCCTTCCCCAGGTCTGCAAGGGGACTGCAGGAAAGCCTCGGCCCACACCCGCGCAGAGGGTAGGTGCTACAYGGGGACACGGACATAGGACACACACTAGGAGCACGTCAAGCTTAATTAGCCACAAGAGCTCTGCTTCCCAACRAGCCATCCCAGCTCCCAGAGCAGCRTTGTGCTTCCCRGGCCCCGGCTCACTCTCCCTGAAGCAGCACACGAACATCAGCTGGTCAGGCTGAGCAGTTCACCTTCTGCTTTACTCCTTCACTTCAGTAGCATCGGGAAGCAGGAGACCCTTGTGTTTAATGGGGTTATTATGAAATTTATATCCACGGAGATTGGCTGTACCCATGGGCTTGCATGAGACACCATGAGATTTCTGTGTTATCAGGAGATTTCTAAAGKTTTTATTCTTGCTCTCTTCCTTAAGTGCAACAGTTGCTATCTTTGTTTGCTCCATGCATTAGAGCTTTTTTGCATTAAAGCCCCACTATTTGACTCCTATATTTATAGGAGAATGAAGTACAGAGTCCACAATTTCATCCTAGGTTTATAGATGGTAAATATATTCTTTTGCCAAAGASCATTTAGAGAAGTTACACACATTCTCCCTGTGAGGAGACACCTCCATTCAGTTTTTAAGCACTCAGACACGCTTCCTCAGCTCACCTTTGCATTTGAGACTTCTCTCTTGGGCTCCAGAAGCGCAGGGGGTGTGAGGTAGGGAACAATGCCAGCTCCTCGTCACCACATCAGGGGACATCATCCATCTTCCCCTCGAGGCCTTGCCCTGATGAGCGCTGTGGGGCCCTGGAGGATCACGGCAAGGCAGGTGACTCCCGCTCCCGGCCTCCTCRAGCAATGCAGCTCAAATGCACCAGCTTCACTCCAGTCTTGCCTGGGCTCTGGCCTATCTCCCATCTCCCATCCCTGCCCCGAGCACAGAGGGGCTTCCAAGGAAAACGTAGAGGAATGCTCTTCTTTTACCCAGGGTTGGCACATCATCAACCCAGTGATGAATATGCAGCGCTCTGTCTCCTCAGGGACTAAACAAAGAGCTCTTCCAGGCGAGGCTGGGACTGAACCAGACMCTGAGGTCCAAGGCTCCAAGCTCCTTACTTCACAACCAAGCCACAGCACTAGCCCAGGGGCTAGCACAAGCTCCAGCTCTCTTGCCCACCCAACTGCCCCTTTTTAACATCCTCTGCTTGATCTCATATGCAGAGACTTACAGGAGCTTCTGGGCTTCACCTTTCCCTGATGTGTGCATGCCCTGGAATAGCATTCCCTGGGAATTGCTTCCACAGCAGATGGATTAAATTTCTTTTGACCTTACAATTACAATAATCAGGTAGGCTTTTCACCTGTCATCCACCTGTACACGCAAATTGACGTTGCAAACAGGCAAGGGGGACTGAAGCAAGCGGGGGAGAGGAACGACAAGCCTTTTCCTATCTTGCCCCAGGTGAGCGTTGCAAATTGGCAGCAGCAGCAAGGGAGTCACCCAGGGTTACCATGCCATGATTTGGGTATGAACAAACATRCGCATGTTGTTTTCAGCCATAATGTATAATTAACCCCTTGGAGCCAATGAGTCTGGCGCTGCCATTATTAGGTTTAATGTAAAAGGTGGCRTGGCATACTGTGCTGGGAATTCCTAGCAGCCCACCATCAAAGGTTTAATCATATGCAATTTATGCCTTCACAGTTTATTATATATTGGAGCTTTTGGTGGAATCTGTCATGCTATCRCACACCAACATGCAGCAAATCTGTAATCTCCAGTTGAGCACATTGTCTCACAAGTGCCCTTTCCCCAAACAAAAAGGTAGTAACAAGATATTTTTAAACAGTCTAGACTGTAAATTGAATAGGAGGAGGCAGAGGCTGAGAATGAAAGATATGAATGTAGCTCCTTTAATATAGGACAGCATATAAACATTACTTTAACTCCTACAGCTGTTTCAAAGGGAAACCTGAAAGCAGAGACTTAATTTATTCAGACTCTAGAATACTCTTGTTAAATATATATATTGCTTTTCCAGATGCCACTTGTTAGCACCCAATATAGGCATTGTGTCATCAAGTAAACAAATTAGTAGACAAAGACAACAATAACAAAAAAAAAAGAAACATAGGACACACTTTTTTAGAGCAGTAGTGTTAGTCTCAAGGACATATGAGCCCTGAGTCACTTGAGGCTCAATGCAGAACGTCTACCCTCTGTACATTCTCCAGGGCATTTGATGGGCCTCAGCTTTTGCTGGCKAATCAGCTGATTGCTGTTTTGCCTCTGCACTGTGTCATATGGGCACATACATTTCAAAAGTAACTTTCTCCTGGTTCCAGCACTAGTTCTGTCTGGTTCCAACCCTCAGCACAAGACGTGATGACCTGAGCATGGTGGAAGCCATAAGACTGACATAAAGATCTGTATGTTTGAAGCAGTAATATAGTCCAGCCATCTGGGCACAAGGAGTCACCTTCTGGCTCTGAATGCTTTCAAGATCATTTTGTACRGGTGCTGGTGATATACTTTAAAAGACAAAATGAAAATCCAAACAAAATCTAGAAGATACAGTTCTTGTATCATCAGTTACTTCAAGATACTATGATTTAAACACAGTAGGTAAACTTTCCTGAGTTTATCTTGGTTAGCAGAGAACTGCAGAAAACAAATACTGGCAGTTTCAAATCCAAAAATCAACCACTCCAAGTACTGTATTGGCTTAAAACAATCTGCTGAGACACCTGCATCAAAGACAGCCCTTGCCTGGACCAGCACATGATCTCTAAAAAGTAGACAGACAATGGCAAKGAAAAATGCAGTAATATATTACATATGAGGAACAAGTCAATTAGGTGACTTGATTTAAATTACAGGGAATATAGAACAGAAACAGGAACTGAATTCACATTTCTTAAAGATTCACTCACTACTTCTATTATATAGATATCTTACTTCTACTCACAGTGCCAGGGTGACCTTCCTGCAGAGGCAGAGAGAGAGAGAGAGAGAGAGAGAGAGAGAGAGAGAGAGAGAGAGAGAGAGAGGAAAAAAAGAAACTTCCAAATAGCATATGTAAAAAAAATAACTGCAATATGTAGCAAGATATTTCCTCAAAGGGAAAGTATCAATACAGACAGAGATGCTTCCAAATAGAAAGTATGTAAGTATTTACTGATACTTACTTGTTCTGCAGTGAGCAATAAGCAAGGAGTTTAGCTTTGCTTTAGTAACGAAAGAAATGGGACAATGTCATCTTCATGCAGGTCTTTCAGTGACACAGTAGTTCCTTCAGCAGCAACCATAAAAGAGAGCTGGATTGCACAATGTCATCTGGGGTGAGAAATTCCTTCTCAAGGGATGACTCAGCTCTTCCATCTTCCAATCTGCAAAGGAAGAAAAAACATATTAGATATTTAAAAGTAGCATGTGGAGAAACTAGGCATACACAATCATCTATCTCTTACCAAAAGATTGTCCTGGAACTTCAGAGAGGGAATAGAAGGGCTTAGGGTGTCCAGAACATGAGCTAGTTAGGTTAAAGCTGCCTCTGCAGTTGTTTTTTAGTCTGTACCTGGAGGATTGACAGGAAGATAGCCGTGGCAGGTAAAGGAATTCTCCAATCTAGGTGCCGTTTAGTATCCTGAAAGACAGATGTCCATCAGAAAAGGTCTGGGTGCAAAGCAGACTGGCCTGAGGGATCAGGGCTTTGAGAATAATTTAGCCTAGAGATTGACTAACACTGGCCCATTTGGGCTAATTCAGGGCAGATGTTTTCTTCTAAATGCCTGTTCTTACTTAAAAACACACACACAATAAAGACCCACCTGGGCTAAACATGAGCATCCCAAAGGGGAAGACATGCGAATATTTCTGCAAGCTCTGTCCCATCTGCAGGGCTGACCCAGTCTGTGACATGCCAGAGAAATGTCACCTCATTTAAATCCTAAAGAGATATAACTACTGTGATATATTTTGATAGCTAGAGTAAAGGTATTTTAAAATTACAGAAAATCGGTGTTGAAAGCTTACRGTAAACAAAATAATTTTCAGGAATCCAACCAACCAGGCATATTTCTCAGTTCTCATTTGAAATCTGTCTCACACATATCATCTCTTTGAATTTTATATAACCAGCTCCTTTTGAGCTGCAGATGTATGCTCGGTGCTACCACGGCATCCTCCCTCGTGGGCGGGAATGAATTTTGTATTCATTAATATTCCATCCAAAATCTCACAGAGGAGGCAGGAGAGGTCACAGAGGGACCGTTTGCTGCCGCTACCCCTCGGCAGCACTTTCAGGATGGAAGGTTTGGCTCCAGCTGCTGAGAACATCCTCCTTTCCCTGCTGCAACGCGCCTTGGCTGCTGGAGTTGCACCAAAAAGCAAACACAGGAGACTAAACCACTTGGTGCAATTAGACAGGAGTTGTAAAGGAGAAGTGGTGGTGGGCTGCTGGTTAACGCTGGAACGACATTCATCTCATCTGGGGCTGTAAACGAAGCCAGCTGCTGCTTAGAGGTGGTCTGGAGGKTTTTGTGGGGACCAGCCCACCTTGCCAGGATTTTATCCACCACAAGCTGGATTCCAACCTCAGCTCTCGCCTTCTGCTCAACAGCCAAGTGCAAAGCCCTTCAGACTCCTCCCAGCCTGGCTGGAAAACAGAGGAAGCTGCTGAGAGCCTGTGATCACTACAATGCCTCGGACGGATAYGAAGTCCTCAGGCATCCCCACCTGCCGAGCATCATTATCCTGCTCCTTTGGCAGAAGGTCTCCCACTGGCCCAGCTGGGATCACAGCAGGCTTCGTTCCCAGTGGGGCTGGTCTAAATCAGCTAGAATGGAGGGGTTATTCCACATGGAATTGCCAGGCCAGGCCTTCCTGACACTATCCAAGATGGGCCAAAACTCAGGAGCTGGACTGTGAATCTAGGAAACACAGGTTCAGTATGGCAAGGATCATCCAACACAGAGTYTTCCAGTTACAGATGAGTTTTCACCACAACATTGTTAGTATGAATAAAAACAAACTGTGGAAAAGGGCAATTGCTTTATGCAGTGACTTGTTATGTTTTGGTGAGATGTTTTCTTGCTTCCTCCCAGCTCCAAAGACTGTTCAAAAACAGCATTCAAAGCTTATCCCTTGCACTTCAAATCTCTTTCTTAACTTTTCAATTTAGGTTATTCCAGCAAGAGATCCAAAGAACTTCACCTCTTCCCCACTCTAGATCTATTTAATTGCCTCAGGGAAGAGACACCTCCACCAAGACAGAGGAAGGCAGACTCTGAGCTAAAAGCCCTTATTCTTTCTGATTGCTCAGACTTTTCAAGCCTTTACATACACTTTTTTTTTTTCAAGCCTTTACATACACTTTCCCTTCTTTTGAACAGCTACTGTCACATCAAAGTTCATAACATCAAAGTTGGTAACAGAGCTATCCACCCAAGAGCTAATAATTCACATATCTCACCATCAGGAAGTAATAGGGGTTTTAACCTCTCCTTTCCGGGATCTATGGTAACAAATCACTTTTCCCAGACTATTCYTTGCATTTCCAAGCTGCCTCCCATCACTGTGAGAGAGGCCATAGTTGTTCAAAGTTATGCCAAGAGGAAATAAGTCATTAAACTTGTAACATTCCAAAAAAAACGTATTCAGTTTAGGATAAGCAAAGTTGTTCTAGTCTTGATTGCTTTGGTTTCTGTTGCCAACCCTGAAGATACACACACCCAGAAATCAAACATTCCTCTGCACTTCAGAAGAGGGATTGGGACAGAGCAAAGGCGAGTTCTGTRGGTGTGTTTCACTTTCTCCCCCTTAACCCTATTTTATTAGCATCTCTTAAGAAATCACTGCATGTTATTAAGATCTCTTGATTAGCATTAGCTACACTACAGTCAATTTTTCATAAGTAAAACAAATTTCTTTACAGTTGTACAATGCCAATAAATGCTGCATGAGATGAACCTCAACCTCACATATGTTCATTTTAGGAAGCAGAACARCTTCAATTTGAAGCATCTCTCTCTCATGCAGAAGAAAATGTGACATGGAGACTGTACTTTCCCATCGTATTCTAGCTGCTCCCTAAATGTGAGTGCAATGGACAGAGCTTCAGCTGAGCAGAGCACCTCTGAGGAAACGGTATGGAAGTGATTGAAGTTTAAAATGCACTCATGAGTATGAGAAAGAGCGGTTATTCCTTCATACAGCTTTGACTTCAAGCAAAAAAAGCAAAAGAGAATGTATCTTGGCAAATTAGACAGGTCAATGGACAAAAAAAAATATAAAAAACAAAAAAAAAACAAAAAAAAAATAGGAGAAATCTCTCTTGGAGCCAGTGCCCAGGATACAGAGCGGGAGAACCTGCCGACTCCATAAGCCTGTGTGTGGTGACCACTGGTACATCTCCCATCCCCTTGGGGCTTCTGCTCTCCCAGGAAAGCTGGGTAAAGGTAGAGCCGGGTTACACACAATGCACAACCACCCCTTGATTCAGGCCACCTAGAATCTCGATGCCATCAGTGAAAGYGAGGACCCAGCCTTTCCACAGAGATCACCGTGTCTTCTTAAAGAGTAAAATTCCAGAGAAACAGGAGAGAAATAGTAAACTGCAATTCACTAACTGTATAAAGACCTATGTGCCTTTTTCATAAAATATTTCATTTTTTAACCTGGGTCTCTGTCAAGCTCCAGTGTTGGTTGAGGCTTGTAGAAGCAATAACTTACAAATTATGAACAGTAGCAGACCAACCAACTCTTCAGAACCTGCCATGGCTTCTGAATGAAATATATGCAAAGCGCCAGGAGCCTGGAGGTGTCGAGCAAAGAAACTTGCTAGCACGAGTTTCTCCATCAATCTGAGTGACCAGCTTGTCTAAGCACAGCTCAGAGGATCAGAAAACAAATGCTCCTGAGAAGCTGCTTTGTGTGTGCTCTTGTGACTAACAGCTCGGGGGGAACAAAAGTTTGCCAGCAATTTATGAGTGGAAAAAAAAAAAAAGGAAACACTTGAGTATTATTCATTGAAAATTATTCATGCTCTTTTTTCATGTAACTGGTCTGTCCATTCATCAAAATTTTTGCTCCATCCAGGGCTGGGAAACAAGTTGTTACTCATTTTTATTTTCTTGTATTGCACTGAGAGCGTAATATATAACCCAAGTCATACTGTGCTGGTACTAAGTAAAAGACAGCGTGCCAGCCAACAGAGCCATGGGGCTGCAAGGAGCTATTGAGAGGAAAGAGATGATGCTTAGTGTGGGTTTAATTCCTTCAGAAAGGAATACTGCAAAGAGGCACATAATAGAGAAAAGTGCAGCATGGGATTTCAGCCTGTTTCAGATGCTGCCTTGCTTAAATTTGCTCAGCGGAAAGCAGGGAGCAGCAGAGGCTGGTGAGAAGAGTCAGAGAATCTGCAAAGCTCCTTCCAGACAGGGAAGGAAGGGAGCGGGAGCGCTCGTGGCAGGGAATTCCAACCTGGAGACTGCCTGGGGTAGCAGGCGGTTCTTGTGCACAGCCYGGCATCTCCCGACCAGCACCGAGGTGATGGATCCATCACCGTCCCATGTGCGACACTGAAGGCAACCAGCAGCTCAGAGCCATGGCCATGACCACCCCTCTGCAACCCCCTCGTGGTGGRACAGGTCCTGGTTACCGAGCTCTCGCAGTCCCTTTTGGGGGTGAGCTCACTGTGTGTTGTGTGTTAGGTGGAATGCAAACACATGCACCTGCACCCAAATTGAGTCATTGCGTGTGGCAGGTAGCAGACTGCTCTTTGCATGCATAATTATTCAATTTGCATTTGTGATAATTGCCTGGGCAAATCCGGCACGCAGACAAGTTGTTATCCCAAACTTGTTATAGACTAATAATAAAATTAAAAAAAAAAAGTGCATTCCTGTTTTGTTTTTCCATTTCATTGATTAAAAATGTGAGAATGAATTTAGCCTTAATGAATGTCAAGGACCCTCATACGCTGGAAGTTAAACTAGTTCAGGCGGCGCTCCACAAACTTTCCATGCTTGGCCGCGCCAACGCTCATCATCGTCCCAACCTGCCGCATGCCTGGCTCCTCCGGCCCTGCCTCAGCCAGCGTGCCGATGGCACGGAGCAGATGACGGCATGGAGAGACCGCAGTCAATAGTGCAGAGCAGCTGATGGCATGGAGTGGACGATGGCACGGAGTAGACACAGCCGATGTCCTGGAGAGGCTGCAGCCGATGGCACAGAGACGCCAGAGCCGCTGGCATGGAGCGGCCGCTGGCACGGAGCGATGTGCCGACGTGACGGAGCCACCACGGCGGTTTGCCCAGGCAGGGCCTCTGCAAGCCCCACGTTTTCTTCAGCCTTGTGCCCTTGAGCTCCCTTTGCTCCCACAGAGCGGCACGTTCACCTGGAGCCGGCCTCACTGCGGATTCGGGAACCRGTGCACCGCTCGCCTTCTCCCAGAAGATGGATTAGGTTCTTTGCAAAGGGAAGCAGTCATGAGAAACACACACACCCCCAGCAGTAAATTCCACTATTAGAGCGACACGTTTATAGGGAGATAACAACAGAAAGCTGCTTCTGCAGTGACTTTTCGCCTA